TGAACTCACACACCTATGAAGGCTCAGGCCCTCTTCTCTTCCTCTCCCACTTTGATTTATGTTTACTTTCTCTTTCCTTTTTTGTGTGGTCCGGCAGGCACAGAAACATGTCTTGGTTGAACTGGTGAACACAAGCATAGCCATGTCTTGGGAGTTCTCCTGCAGCAAGAATGGGTCCCTGGAGGGAGTTGACATTGTTAATTTGACTTGCCATAAACCTCATCAAAGCACCATGGAAGGTGGTGGAGAAGAGAGAGAGAGAGAGAGAGAGAGAGAGAGAATAAAAGGCATTACAAGGCATCCACCAACATGCTCATCAATGTCAGCAAAAATGGAAACAAAGTGGAAGAGCCACCAGAGAACAACCAGTATCAGAGAAAGGCACACTCTGCATTGGTGTCACAACTCACCAGTAGAAAAATATGCCATGAGAGCTCAGTGAATAAAGTGGCATGCAGAAGAAGAATGCAAAATGTCCTATTCACTGATTCAAACATTAAGAAAACAAAAAGCTTATCTGTAAAGCAACCCCTGCATCTGATACTACTGCACCATATTTCTCCTCTGTAATCTCTGCATTCTTAGTGTGTGTTACTTGCAGCAAATGAGGGAACGAATAAGCTCCTCTGAGCCATGTCATGTCAGGAGATGATTAAGTTGATCTAGTGATGGATATCAGTGGATAACTAAAGCTTGCACCTTTCTCACTGGATCAGTATCACAGATAGCCCAGTTGTCAGCATGTAATCCTCCTGAGGCAACCTACCATGGAGCATTAGCTGAAGTTATATTGCTCTCAACTTTATCAAAAGGCATGATCATAAACAAGTAACATGATTTGATGTGGACATTTTGTCTTCTTCTGCAAGTTGAGATATGACATGGAACATACACATACATGGCTCACACTTCCTGAGATATGAGTGACTGAACCAAGGTGTAGGAGTAAGGAAATGTGACTGAGGTGGTTGACTTGTGATCATGGAGGTGAAGAGTCAATGGATTACCTTTCATATCTCTCCTGTTCCTCTGCCCTACTACAGTCAACAGAGTCATTTCTTGGCCACTCTGAAGCTCCCTTTAATTTCTTTTCTTTTGAATCATAATGACAGAACTACATGTACTTCTCCTGGAGTCAATCAATATTAATTTATTACTGTCAGCCATTGTAGTTTCTTAGTGTTAGCTACAGTAGGTTAATTAAGTATATTTTTATTATATACTCCTTTTAATTCAAATAAATTAATATTGATTGTTGTTAGAGGTTGTTAATCTGAGTTAATTAATTATTACTATTTATAATGGTAATTATGCTATTTTTACATTTACAAGGATATACATGTAAAAATAAATAAAAAAAGGAGAAGTTCTAAATTATCCAATATATTACTTTATGTATTTTATTCTTTATATTGGTCTATTAAAGAGTAATTTGACCCTTTTTTTTCCTTAGAATATGAGAATGCAAATCTCTTAATTTAATTCCATATGAAATGAATCTAATTTTTATTTTATGTGACTTGGCATGTTTATTGACAATTGGATGCAAAGTCTTAAAGATTAACAAACCAATTTAACTCTCAACAGGCAAAATCAACATCAATCCCATGCAGCACATCAGATCCAACAAGAATAGCAGCATCACACATGAAACATGGTGCTCCAATATAAAACACTTGTTGCTATCTTGTCTACATATGGCCACTTAAATATTAATGGATTCCAAATCACTGAACACTTGAAATCCCCAACCACTATTTCAAGAAATTTAATTACTGTTGCAGTGATGCTGAAACAACTGCTTCCATGATGGGATCTTAGTTGGTTCCAAATCATACAAATATGTTCTTCATGACAAGCAAGCTACTGAATCATGGAAGATTATCTTATCCATTTTTATGCTTTGATATTTATTTAAAAGACTTTTAATGTAATTTATTTTTTTATTCTCTTAAATAAAAAAGGAGTCCTGATTGATGCATTCAATCTTGTTCTTCCAAGAGAAAGAAAGAGAGAGAGAGAGAGAGAGAGAGAGAGAGAGAGAGAGAAATCTTGATATTAATTACTTTATTTGTAAAGTGTAAAGGTTATAACATAATCACCCTCTTGAGTGGTTTCATGTGGTTTCTTATCAGCTGAATGGAACCCTAGAAATTATAATGGATGGATGATGCAACAAGTCACCAATTCCTTGAAATAAAAAGCTTCAAAGGACATCACACCATTGTTGCTCCTCCATTAAAAACAGAGGGAAATGCTTCACACACACAAACAATATGGCACTAAGTGTTGTTAGATGATCCATTCATTTTTTATGCTTTCCAAGGGAACATGCCAATGCCACCTCAACTCATCCCTTTGGGTCTCCTAATAACTCAACAAGAGAGGTGGTGGTGTTTACAAAATGTTTTTTGACTGCTTTTTTTTTGTCTCTCAAGTGCATCTCCTACACACAAAAGCAGGGGACAGTCTGACCTCACATTGTCTGTGGCTCAGAAGTGCATCTATTGGTTTGCACCACTTGCACATGTTCATCTAATTTCATTGGAAACACACCTTCATTAATTTTATCCTCCTCAATAAATTTTAGTATAGCATGTACCTTATACCTCTTGGCTTATAATTATGTATATTGTTTAGGTCATTTTCAGCCCTAATAATTTCATCATCATAAGGACTTTTTATGGCTATTGATGTCATTTGAAGTTTACATTAATACTCAAAATATGGAGATTAATGGTAGGGGCATATAGTTCAAGTTTTTATTATTATTATTTTGTGTTAGTATGTTTAGTTAAGGTGTAATAGGAAGCCTCAAGTGAATATATTTATTTTTTAT